AGTCAGAGAGAGAGGATATACGGATTATGAGAGAATATACCAACGGGAGATAATGTGAGGTAACCTCTGGTAGAAGTCAGTTACAAGCACGTAGACTGTAAAAAAGTCCTACTTCAAGACTATATATATATATATATATATATATATATATATGTATGTATTTGCTATTAACCGCGTTCCTGGACTTACTAACAGTATTACTCTTTGTATGACTGTGTAAATACATTTTATTTCTTATATTTAATTATTGCATTTGTCATTCCTTGGAGACCGAATTTCATCTGGGAATCCACAACAGGTACACCGTTATTTTGGCCATGAAGTAAACAGAGAAACTTCCCAAAAAACACGCCCTGAAGATTTTTTTTTTTTTTTTTTTTTTGGAAAATAGGCTTGCTTCCGTTTGTTGGTTAAACGAATCGCATTATTACAATCTAGTGCCAGACTAAATCCTGATTAATTATACGCAGTGAAAAGTGTTGATCGTGAAGCTCCACGGGGTATTTATTACGACGAAAGTGAGGAGGTATGTCTCTCTCTCTTAGCTGTAATTCTCTGCGGAACAAAATGGAGGAACTTCTTTTTTTTTACAATGATGTTCACCCTGTACAAGGCTGTTGTGGAATAGTTTTCAAAGTGGAGGCTTGTATTTCTATAAGTCATCCTAAATTAGGTTCGACGTACAAAACGTTAGGGACTTGGAAAATACGAGTTAATGACGCAGCAATCTAGTTGTGATGGTTGGTACTTCAATGTCCGATATCGTCTGACTCGCTCAACACCATATAGCCGAACTGGCGACCGCTACTGCTACTTATTGTCTATGGGAGAGTCCATTACCATAGAATAGGTAGTATAACAAAGGCCTAAGAGCCACTCGAGGTAGAGGTTTGCAAAGTAATAGTTTATCAAGATATCAGCATTATATCAATGAAGATTTAGTATAAAGAGTTCGCTTCTCAATGAGTGTGCCATTATTTTAACCCGCTTCCAGTCTAAGGTGATTTTTGTATCATCTGTGTAATGTCAAGTTCAAAAACCGATCCTGTCTTTGAATTGAATAATTTCCTTCCTTCGGTTATATTGGCAAAGTTCTCTACTGTGAACACAGCGGTAGTTTGCGTGACAAAAGGGAAAGTAACTGTGTAATTTATTATTCAGACTTTGGGAAACAGCTTTCGGGTTTCAAGCTGATTCAGTTAATTGACTTGAACAGTCATTAATGCAATACTTAAGAGGAATGGCCGGAGAATTTGACGCATTATATTTGCAACCAACCCGGCAAATATCTGTTTTCTGAGGCCAAACCTATATACAGAAGATAAATCAGACACTAGAAGGATGCTGAAGATATTATAGACATAACGTGTAAGCAACGACAAAGTTTTAGAGAAAATGGAAACAAAAGAAACGTTATATTTAACATCAGGAAGAGCTAGAAATTTCTGGACCATATAATGAAGAAGGAGGGCTTGGAAAATTTGATACTCTCAAGACAGATTGAAGGCAAAAGGAACAGAGAAAAACAACGCATAATACACTTAGTGAGCTTGATTAAATGGATGGCGAAACAATGCTTAGAAAAAATAACAAAAATACAATATTTATTAAGAGCTACAAAGAACAAAGTCAGGATCTTCTACGTTCTGAAGGGAAGATAATATAACATAGATATATTCTCTCTTGTTTAACATTTTAACATTCAAGCATGACAAGTTGTTGGACATGCTACACTTACGAGTGATCAAATTGTACTTTTCTAAGTATTATAGATCCGGCAACCAACCTAGGAGAAATGCAAGTCCGAATTCAGAAGCAGCCTGTAGAAATATATGTACCTCAAACTATCTTGCCCTAAACACGGCTCCTTTTATTACGACTGCAGTAAATGTGTTGACCTACGACTCAAACGCGTTAGGGAACGATCGTTCTCAATGGGTAATTTTGTGCGTGCGAGTGGGCGACAATATAAAAATGAAATTAGCGTACCACGTTCAAATACGGTTCGGACAGTTTCAGTTCCTATCGCTCTATTGCGTATAATTCCCTCTCTTCTCCCCAGCGATGGGTAAAATAGCTGAGCAGATTCGGATACCGCAATTCCCCATGTATAATGCGCCTTCATCCATAATACGCACCCCTGAAACTGTGCTGAAAGTATGGGAAAATGATTTTACTCACGCATAATACACACCCCTTATTTGATAATCAAACCCTATAAATTGTACCTCTCCAATTTCATTATGGCCAGCGTTTCCTACTCTTATTTTAAAAATGGTTTTAAACATAGAATAATATTATTTTAATTTAGTTTTATGATAATTCATTTGTAAGTATTGTTAAGTACATATGATTGTATATGACAACATTATGGTGTCGCAATCGCCGAATGTTAGTTTCAAATTGTCGTATACTTGTGGTTAGTAGTCATTTCGCAACTGAAATCGACCAATGAAACGGCATTTTTTTTAAAGGTTTTGTAGCTGTGAATAATACGCAGCTCTAATTTTGCTTATAATTTTTTTAGGAAAAATGCGTATTATACATGGGGAATTACAGTATTTACCTTTGAGATGTTTTATTTTATTTATTTATTTATTTTTTTTTTTTTTTTGTAAATCCACAGATAAGTATTCTAAAATCTGAGATCAGGTTTATGTACCCTCGCTCTTAAAGTTTTCACAATTTGCGTTGCGTTAACTTTTATAAGCTATTGAATTCCAGTTATGCCGGTAGCGGACGGCTTACTAGACGCGTAATTTCCGCAAAACGGTACGAAATATCGTTGTAATTTTTTCTAATTCTATATGTTGATAAATGCTTTTGATATATATATTTAAGAAAAGTCGAACTGTGGATTCGTTCCTCAGAGTAGGTACAATTAAACTGGGTTTAGTAAGACAAAGTATAATTTACTTCTAAAATTCTTCTGCATCTTTAAACATTACATCATCCAAATTAGGGGTTTTGCTTACGTTTATATGAAATGCATCAGTATTTCTTTGGGTTGAGCTATATAGCCTTTGACTATTTCCCAGCTCAAGCCCGTACTCTATTAGAACGAACAAAAATTAAATTAATTAAAAAAAAGAAAATAACAGAGAGAGAAAAAATTCGCTTTTTGTTTGGAAGGATTTTTTTTGGAACTAGTCCTCTCCAAAGAGTTTTAAGGAATGTAGTTTATAGGGGGGATCTGAAGGAACGTCGCATCTTGAAGAACTTCTTATAAAAGCTCGAGGATCCTTAACTGTGTCATATTTACATGAAAACGATTATTAACATGTAGCAAAATCAATCAATTTCCTTCCACTGAAACTACATTTTTGCTTTTCTAATGGGGCCTTCCAACGGGTCAGTTGGTCCCAATTGCTTTTGTGTTGCAAGCTCCCGTTTCAAGCCAAAACACAAATAACTTTTCCCCCGAAAATTCCGTATACAAAAGGCATTCAAAACGTTCTTAGCCTCACACAGAAAAGCAGATCCGTACCTGAACATTTTATTGACAACAAACTACCACTGAAGGCATAATTATGATAGATTACCTGGAAAAGGTAAAAACTTAATGGACAATGCTATGCATCAGAATTAAGACAACTAAAGAAGCAGCAGTATCTTTCTATATTTCTGAGATGAGGTATTATGTACACTATTTACATTCTTTGGATTATTCTCCTCATATTTGTCGCCATATTTATTACAACGTTTCTGCCTTTCAGTATCTGTCTATATTTCTAAGATGAGGTATTATGTACACTATTTACATTATTCGGAATATTGTCCTCATCTTTGTTGCCATATCTATCACAACGTTTCGGCATTTCAGTATCTGTCTATATTTCTGAGATGAGGTATTATGTACAGTATTTACATTATTCGGACTATTGTCCTCATCTTTGTCGCCATATTTATTACAACGTTTCGGCATTTCAGTATTCTGTCTATATTTCTGTGATGAGTTATTATGTACACTATTTACATTATTCGGACTATTGTCCTCATCTTTGTCGCCATATTTATTACAACGTTTTGGCCTTTTAGTATCTTTCTATATTTCTGAGATGAGGTATTATGTACACTATTTACATTATTCGGACTATTGTCCTCATCTTTGTCGCCATATTTATTACAACGTTTTGGCCTTTCAGTATCTGTCTATATTTCTGAGATTAGGTATTATGTACACTATTTACATTATTCGGACTATTGTCCTCATCTTTGTCGCCATATTTATTACAACGTTTCGGCCGTTCAACGCTCCAGCCTTCAGGTGGTTGGAATGTCGACCTGGACCCTTTATTTCGCTCACTGGGGTAGACTGTTCTAGTTCCTCGTGCCATGTTTAATGGATGTCATTCATCAGTTATCTTCTGTTTATTCCCCTCTGCAAGTTCTTGAATTCACACTCTTTGGGTCCTATCACTGGATCTAACCAATACCTTTATCCCCTGTGCTATGTGTCCTTGAGGACATCTGTGTATGAATTTCTGGGTATTATAAACTTAATGTCTCATGACCATTTTTTACCAGTGCTCATATTGCAATTTTTTGCTGCTATCATTTCATGTTTTTACCAGAGTTCATATTGAAATTTTTGTTGTTATTATCGCTTTTCCCTGGTACTTCTTATTAATAGTTTCCATATTGTATTCATAGAAGGTCGGAGCCTACAACGGCCAAAACGTTGTAATAAATATGGAGACAAAAATAAGGACAATAGTCCGAATAATGTAAATAGTGTAAATGAAGCATTCAAGTCGAAATGCGACGGTGAAGCTGAAGTCAGGTGTGCTCTTGCACCCGTTCAAACTGTTCAGGTTAGAGTTGCTGAAGTAACCAACTGAGACTGAGTCGATACACCATCCCCCTTACTCACCAGATTTGGCTCCATCTGACTTCTTTCACTTTCCTAAACTCAAATCACACCTGCGTAGTCGCTATTTTGGAAACAATAACGATATCATATGTATAACGCTTCAGGGGCGTCCTGGCCCCTGCGCTACATGACAACGCCGTTCCGTTCTCGACCACCGGTCTGTCACGATCTAATCCAGTGGCTAATCGTGAAGTTGGTGATTTCGACCCAAACCCCTTCCTGGCCCACGTTGTGTTTATTTTCACCACAAAGCAGACAAGGATCGAATTGTCGCTGGATTGGTGTCGTTCAGAAAGTTGTATAAATCAACAAGGTTTATATAACTGAGTTTTATACAGGAAAATTTTTCGTATAAGAATCTACGACTAGTACTATTCCAGACTAGCGACTATTCCTTTCTTCGTTTCCAAGTCGAGGTTACTTCAGGCAGTGAATTACGGAATACTGACGAAGCACTCGCCACCCCTCCCCCCCTCTCTCTCTCTCTCTCTCTCTCTCTCTCTCTCTATGTCGTTAGACAGAGACTTTCAATTCTTCCACTTTGCAATTTCATCAGGACACTGCTCAATTTATCTAATAGTCCGGAATAAGGCATGAATCAAGAGTTCTTCGTGGCAGCAAATCACATGGCGTAATGGGGCGCGTCTCTGCCTCAACAGATCTCTCTCTCTCTCTCTCTCTCTCTCTTCTGTTTTCTCTGTCCTGGGATCTCTGCATTTATGAGTCCAACCTCCAAAATCCGGGTTGGGTTGACTTGTTCGGGGATGCCTCCGGATCTCCTGTCAACCAATCAAATCTCTCCCGGGTTATAGAGGAGCTCATCCTGCCGGGTGGCGGTAGGAACACGTCGATCCGCCATCTTGTTCTCCTACCTTCTCTTGCTCGTTCCTCACACCAGTACCTTTCAGTTGGTGTATTCATTTTCCTCATACTTCCTCATATCTGCTTCCCACGCTGTCATCCATCCAGGGAATAGGTGCTCCACCCGACACGTGGGTGCCCGACAGATGTTATTTTTAATGTTACCATCAAATTATTATCTGCATTTCTTATTCTTAATTATCATGTTTGGTCCGTAACTTTTCCTCTTTTTCGCACTTGACCGAAATTTTCAGGTCTAAAAATTTTGTTCCCTTAGCGAAACGTGCATCATCCAGCCGTATCAACAAGTGACATAGAATCATTTCTTTTCCCTTTTCTTCGCCCACCTGTAGCCATAAAATTATTATTTGTAACTAGTTTGATGGTTTCTGTCAAAAATCGCATTCATCCCTTAGGCTTCACTTAACCAGATACCCAAGTTGATTTCAGCGCTATCTTCTAGCGAGGTCCTTATTCACGAAATGAGAAACAAAATAAAAGTATGTTTTCTCTTGTTTTCTAAGTATTATAGATCCGGCCACCAACCTAGGAGAAACTCCGAATTCAGAAGAAGCCTGTAGAAAATATATGTACCTCAAACTATCTTGCCCTAAACACGGCTCCCTTTATTACGACTGCAGTAAATGTGTTGACCTACGACTCAAACGTGTTAGGGAACGATCGTTCTCAATGGGTAATTTTTGTGCGTGCGAGTGGGCGACAATATAAAATGAAATTAGCGTACCACGTTCAAATACGGTTCGGACAGTTTCAGTTCCTATCGCTCTGTGCGTATAATTCCCTCTCTTCTCCCCAGCGATGGGTAAAATAGCTGAGCAGATTCGGATACCGCAATTCCCCATGTATAATGCGCCTTCATCCATAATACGCACCCCTGAAACTGTGCTGAAAGTATGGGAAAATGATTTTACTCACGCATAATACACACCTTATTTGATAATCAAACCCTATAAATTGTACCTCTCCAATTTCATTATGGCCAGCGTTTCCTACTCTTATTTTAAAAATGGTTTTAAACATAGAATAATATTATTTTAATTTAGTTTTATGATAATTCATTTGTAAGTATTGTTAAGTACATATGATTGTATATGACAACATTATGGTGTCGCAATCGCCGAATATTAGTTTCAAATTGTCGTATACTTGTGGTTAGTAGTCATTTCTTAACTGAAATCGACCAATGAAACGGCATTTTTTTAAAGGTTTTTGGCTGTGAATAATACGCAGCTCTAATTTTGCTTATAATTTTTTAGGAAAAATGCGTATTATACATGGGGAATTACAGTATTTACCTTTGAGATGTTTTATTTTATTTATTTATTTATTTTTTTTTTTTTTGTAAATCCACAGATAAGTATTCTAAAATCTGAGATCAGGTTTATGTACCCTCGCTCTTAAAGTTTTCACAATTTGCGTTGCGTTAACTTTTATAATTATTGAATTCCAGTTATGCCGGTAGCGGACGGCTTACTAGACGCGTAATTTCCGCAAAACGGTACGAAATATCGTTGTAATTTTTTCTAATTCTATATGTTGATAAATGCTTTTGATATATATATTTAAGAAAAAGTCGAACTGTGGATTCGTTCCTCAGAGTAGGTACAATTAAACTGGGTTTAGTAAGACAAAGTATAATTTACTTCTAAAATTCTTCTGCATCTTTAAACATTACATCATCCAAATTAGGGGTTTTGCTTACGTTTATATGAAATGCATCAGTATTTCTTTGGGTTGAGCTATATAGCCTTTGACTATTTCCCAGCTCAAGCGCGTACTCTATTAGAACGAACAAAATTAAATTAATTAAAAAAAGAAAATAACAGAGAAAAAATTCGCTTTTTTGTTTGGAAGGATTTTTTTTTGGAACTAGTCCTCTCCAAAGAGTTTTAAGGAATGTAGTTTATAGGGGATCTGAAGGAACGTCGCATCTTGAAGAACTTCTTATAAAAGCTCGAGGATCCTTAACTGTGTCATATTTACATGAAAACGATTATTAACATGTAGCAAAATCAATCAATTTCCTTCCACTGAAACTACATTTTTTGCTTTTCTAATGGGGCCTTCCAACGGGTCAGTTGGTCCCAATTGCTTTTTGTGTTGCAAGCTCCGTTTCAAGCCAAAACACAAATAACTTTTCCCCGAAAAATTCCGTATACAAAAGGCATTCAAAACGTTCTTAGCCTCACACAGAAAAGCAGATCCGTACCTGAACATTTTATTGACAACAAACTACCACTGAAGGCATAATTATGATAGATTACCTGGAAAAGGTAAAACTTAATGGACAATGCTATGCATCAGAATTAAGACAACTAAAGAAGCAGCAGTATCTTTCTATATTTCTGAGATGAGGTATTATGTACACTATTTACATTCTTTTGGATTATTCTCCTCATATTTGTCGCCATATTTATTACAACGTTTCTGCCTTTCAGTATCTGTCTATATTTCTAAGATGAGGTATTATGTACACTATTTACATTATTCGGAATATTGTCCTCATCTTTGTTGCCATATCTATCACAACGTTTCGGCATTTCAGTATCTGTCTATATTTCTGAGATGAGGTATTATGTACAGTATTTACATTATTCGGACTATTGTCCTCATCTTTGTCGCCATATTTATTACAACGTTTCGGCATTTCAGTATTCTGTCTATATTTCTGTGATGAGTTATTATGTACACTATTTACATTATTCGGACTATTGTCCTCATCTTTGTCGCCATATTTATTACAACGTTTTGGCCTTTTAGTATCTTTCTATATTTCTGAGATGAGGTATTATGTACACTATTTACATTATTCGGACTATTGTCCTCATCTTTGTCGCCATATTTATTACAACGTTTTGGCCTTTCAGTATCTGTCTATATTTCTGAGATTAGGTATTATGTACACTATTTACATTATTCGGACTATTGTCCTCATCTTTGTCGCCATATTTATTACAACGTTTCGGCCGTTCAACGCTCCAGCCTTCAGGTGGTTGGAATGTCGACCTGGACCCTTTATTTCGCTCACTGGGGTAGACTGTTCTAGTTCCTCGTGCCATGTTTAATGGATATCAGTCATCAGTTATCTTCTGTTTATTCCCCTCTGCAAGTTCTTGAATTCACACTCTTTGGGTCCTATCACTGGATCTAACCAATACCTTTATCCCCTGTGCTATGTGTCCTTGAGGACATCTGTGTATGAATTTCTGGGTATTATAAACTTAATGTCTCATGACCATTTTTTACCAGTGCTCATATTGCAATTTTTGCTGCTATCATTTCATGTTTTTACCAGGTTCATATTGAAATTTTTGTTGTTATTATCGCTTTTCCTGGTACTTCTTATTAATAGTTTCCATATTGTATTCATAGAAGGTCGGAGCCTACAACTTGGCCAAAACGTTGTAATAAATATGGAGACAAAAATAAGGACAATAGTCCGAATAATGTAAATAGTGTAAATGAAGCATTCAAGTCGAAATGCGACGGTGAAGCTGAAGTCAGGTGTGCTCTTGCACCCGTTCAAACTGTTCAGGTTAGAGTTGCTGAAGTAACCAACTGAGACTGAGTCGATACACCATCCCCTTACTCACCAGATTTGGCTCCATCTGACTTCTTTCACTTTCCTAAACTCAAATCACACCTGCGTAGTCGCTATTTTGGAAACAATAACGATATCATATGTATAACGCTTCGGGGCGTCCTGGCCCCTGCGCTACATGACAACGCCGTTCCGTTCTCGACCACCGGTCTGTCCACGATCTAATCCAGTGGCTAATCGTGAAGTTGGTGATTTCGACCCAAACCCCTTCCTGGCCCACGTTGTGTTTATTTTCACCACAAAGCAGACAAGGATCGAATTGTCGCTGGATTGGTGTCGTTCAGAAAGTTGTATAAATCAACAAGGTTTATATAACTGAAGTTTATACAGGAAAAATTTTTCGTATAAGAATCTACGAGTACGCAGACTAGCGACTATTCCCTTTCTTCGTTTCCAAGTCGAGGTTACTTCAGGCAGTGAATTACGGAATACTGACGAAGCACTCGCCACCCTCTCCCCCCCCTCTCTCTCTCTCTCTCTCTCTCTCTCTCTCTCTCTCTCTATGTCGTTAGACAGAGACTTTCAATTCTTCCACTTTGCAATTTCATCAGGACACTGCTCAATTTATCTAATAGTCCGGAATAAGGCATGAATCAAGAGTTCTTCGTGGCAGCAAATCACATGGCGTAATGGGAGCGCGTCTCTGCCTCAACAGATCCTCTCTCTCTCGCTCTCTCTCTCTCTCTCTTCTGTTTTCTCTGTCCTGGGATCTCTGCATTTATGGAGTCCAACCTCCAAAATCCGGGTTGGGTTGACTTGTTCGGGGATGCCTCCGGATCTCCTGTCAACCAATCAAATCTCTCCCCGGGTTATAGAGGAGCTCATCCTGCCGGAGTGGCGGTAGGAACACGTCGATCCGCCATCTTGTTCTCCTACCTTCTCTTGCTCGTTCCTCACACCAGTACCTTTCAGTTGGTGTATTCATTTTCCTCATACTTCCTCATATCTGCTTCCCACGCTGTCATCCATCCAGGGAATAGGTGCTCCACCCGACACGTGGGTGCCCGACAGATGTTATTTTTTAATGTTACCATCAAATTATTATCTGCATTTCTTATTCTTAATTATCATGTTTGGTCCGTAACTTTTCTCTTTTTCGCACTTGACCGAAATTTTCAGGTCTAAAAATTTTGTTCCCTTAGCGAAACGTGCATCATCAGCCGTATCAACAAGTGACATAGAATCATTTCTTTTCCCTTTTCTTCGCCCACCTGTAGCCATAAAATTATTATTTGTAACTAGTTTGATGGTTTCTGTCAAAATCGCATTCATCCCTTAGGCTTCCTTAACCAGATACCCAAGTTGATTTCAGCGCTATCTTCTAGCGAGGTCCTTATTCACGAAATGAGAAACAAAATAAAAAGTATGTTTCTCTTGTTTTCTAAGTATTATAGATCCGGCCACCAACCTAGGAGAAACTCCGAATTCAGAAGAAGCCTGTAGAAATATATGTACCTCAAACTATCTTGCCCTAAACACGGCTCCCTTTATTACGACTGCAGTAAATGTGTTGACCTACGACTCAAACGTGTTAGGGAACGATCGTTCTCAATGGGTAATTTTGTGCGTGCGAGTGGGCGACAATATAAAAATGAAATTAGCGTACCACGTTCAAATACGGTTCGGACAGTTTCAGTTCCTATCGCTCTATTGCGTATATTCCCTCTCTTCTCCCCAGCGATGGGTAAAATAGCTGAGCAGATTCGGATACCGCAATTCCCCATGTATAATGCGCCTTCATCCATAATACGCACCCCTGAAACTGTGCTGAAAGTATGGGAAAATGATTTTACTCACGCATAATACACACCCCTTATTTGATAATCAAACCCTATAAATTGTACCTCTCCAATTTCATTATGGCCAGCGTTTCCTACTCTTATTTTAAAAATGGTTTTAAACATAGAATAATATTATTTTAATTTAGTTTTATGATAATTCATTTGTAAGTATTATTTAAGTACATATGATTGTATATGACAACATTATGGTGTCGCAATCGCCGAATGTTAGTTTCAAATTGTCGTATACTTGTGGTTAGTAGTCATTTCGCAACTGAAATCGACCAATGAAACGGCATTTTTTTAAAGGTTTTGTAGCTGTGAATAATACGCAGCTCTAATTTTGCTTATAATTTTTTAGGAAAATGCGTATTATACATGGGGAATTACAGTATTTACCTTTGAGAAGTTTTATTTTATTTATTTATTTATTTTTTTTTTTGTAAATCCACAGATAAGTTTTCTAAAATCTGAGATCAGGTTTATGTAACCTCGCTCTTAAAGTTTTCACAATTTGCGTTGCGTTAACTTTTATAAGCTATTGAATTCCAGTTATGCCGGTAGCGGACGGCTTACTAGACGCGTAATTTCCGCAAAACGGTTCGAAATATCGTTGTAATTTTTTTCTAATTCTATATGTTGATAAATGCTTTTGATATATATATTTAAGAAAAGTCGAACTGTGGATTCGTTCCTCAGAGTAGGTACAATTAAACTGGGTTTAGTAAGACAAAGTATAATTTACTTCTAAAATTCTTCTGCATCTTTAAACATTACATCATCCAAATTAGGGGTTTTGCTTACGTTTATATGAAATGCATCAGTATTTCTTTGGGTTGAGCTATATAGCCTTTGACTATTTCCCAGCTCAAGCGCGTACTCTATTAGAACGAACAAAAATTAAATTAATTAAAAAAAAGAAAATAACAGAGAGAAAAAATTCGCTTTTTGTTTGGAAGGATTTTTTTTGGAACTAGTCCTCTCCAAAGAGTTTTAAGGAATGTAGTTTATAGGGGGGATCTGAAGGAACGTCGCATCTTGAAGAACTTCTTATAAAAGCTCGAGGATCCTTAACTGTGTCATATTTACATGAAAACGATTATTAACATGTAGCAAAATCAATCAATTTCCTTCCACTGAAACTACATTTTTGCTTTTCTAATGGGGCCTTCAACTTGGGTCAGTTGGTCCCAATTGCTTTTGTGTTGCAAGCTCCCGTTTCAAGCCAAAACACAAATAACTTTTCCCTGAAAATTCCGTATACAAAGGCATTCAAAACGTTCTTAGCCTCACACAGAAAAGCAGATCCGTACCTGAACATTTTATTGACAACAAACTACCACTGAAGGCATAATTATGATAGATTACCTGGAAAAGGTAAAAACTTAATGGACAATGCTATGCATCAGAATTAAGACAACTAAAGAAGCAGCAGTATCTTTCTATATTTCTGAGATGAGGTATTATGTACACTATTTACATTCTTTGGATTATTCTCCTCATATTTGTCGCCATATTTATTACAACGTTTCTGCCTTTCAGTATCTGTCTATATTTCTAAGATGAGGTATTATGTACACTATTTACATTATTCGGAATATTGTCCTCATCTTTGTTGCCATATCTATCACAACGTTTCGGCATTTCAGTATCTGTCTATATTTCTGAGATGAGGTATTATGTACAGTATTTACATTATTCGGACTATTGTCCTCATCTTTGTCGCCATATTTATTACAACGTTTCGGCATTTCAGTATTCTGTCTATATTTCTGTGATGAGTTATTATGTACACTATTTACATTATTCGGACTATTGTCCTCATCTTTGTCGCCATATTTATTACAACGTTTTGGCCTTTTAGTATCTTTCTATATTTCTGAGATGAGGTATTATGTACACTATTTACATTATTCGGACTATTGTCCTCATCTTTGTCGCCATATTTATTACAACGTTTTGGCCTTTCAGTATCTGTCTATATTTCTGAGATTAGGTATTATGTACACTATTTACATTATTCGGACTATTGTCCTCATCTTTGTCGCCATATTTATTACAACGTTTCGGCCGTTCAACGCTCCAGCCTTCAGGTGGTTGGAATGTCGACCTGGACCCTTTATTTCGCTCACTGGGGTAGACTGTTCTAGTTCCTCGTGCCATGTTTAATGGATATCAGTCATCAGTTATCTTCTGTTTATTCCCTCTGCAAGTTCTTGAATTCACACTCTTTGGGTCCTATCACTGGATCTAACCAATACCTTTATCCCCTGTGCTATGTGTCCTTGAGGACATCTGTATGAATTTCTGGGTATTATAAACTTAATGTCTCATGACCATTTTTTTACCAGTGCTCATATTGCAATTTTTTTGCTGCTATCATTTCATGTTTTTACCAGAGTTCATATTGAAATTTTTGTTGTTATTATCGCTTTTCCTGGTACTTCTTATTAATAGTTTCCATATTGTATTCATAGAAGGTCGGAGCCTACAACGGCCAAAACGTTGTAATAAATATGGAGACAAAAATAAGGACAATAGTCCGAATAATGTAAATAGTGTAAATGAAGCATTCAAGTCGAAATGCGACGGTGAAGCTGAAGTCAGGTGTGCTCTTGCACCCGTTCAAACTGTTCAGGTTAGAGTTGCTGAAGTAACCAACTGAGACTGAGTCGATACACCATCCCCCTTACTCACCAGATTTGGCTCCATCTGACTTCTTTCACTTTCCTAAACTCAAATCACACCTGCGTAGTCGCTATTTTGGAAACAATAACGATATCATATGTATAACGCTTCGGGGCGTCCTGGCCCCTGCGCTACATGACAACGCCGTTCCGTTCTCGACCACCGGTCTGTCCACGATCTAATCCAGTGGCTAATCGTGAAGTTGGTGATTTCGACCCAAACCCTTCCTGGCCCACGTTGTGTTTATTTTCACCACAAAGCAGACAAGGATCAATTGTCGCTGGATTGGTGTCGTTCAGAAAGTTTATAAATCAACAAGGTTTATATAACTGAAGTTTATACAGGAAAAATTTTTCGTATAAGAATCTACGAGTACGCAGACTAGCGACTATTCCCTCGTAATCTAATTTTGTGACACTTTCTTCGTTTCCAAGTCGAGGTTTCTTCAGGCAGTGAATTACGGAATACTGACGAAGCACTCGCCACCCTCTCCCCCCACTCTCCCCCCCTCTCTCTCTCTCTCTCTCTCTCTATGTCGTTATACAGAGACTTTCAATTCTTCCACTTTGCAATTTCATCAGGACACTCTGCTCAATTTATCTAATAGTCCGGAATAAGGCATGAATCAAGAGTTCTTCGTGGCAGCAAATCACATGGCGTAATGTGAGCGCGTCTCTGCCTCAACAGATCCTCTCTCTCTCGCTCTCTCTCTCTCTCTCTCGCTCTCTCTCTCTTCTGTTTTCTCTGTCCTGGGATCTCTGCATTTATGGAGTCCAACCTCCAAAATCCGGGTTGGGTTGACTTGTTCTGGGATGCCTCCGGATCTCCTGTCAACCAATCAAATCTCTCCCCGGGTTATAGAGGAGCTCACCCTGCCGGAGTGGCGGTAGGAACACGTCGATCCGCCATCTTGTTCTCCTACCTTCTCTTGCTCGTTCCTCACACCAGTACCTTTCAGTGGGTGTATTCATTTTCCTCATACTTCATCATATCAGCTTCCCACGCTGTCATCTATCCAGGGAATAGGTGCTCCACCCGACACGTGGGTGCCCGACAGATGTTATTTTTAATGTTACCATCAAATTATTATCTGCATTTCTTATTCTTAATTATCATGTTTGTTCCGTAACTTTTCCTCTTTCGCACTTGACCGAAATTTTCAGGTCTAAAAATGTTGTTCCTTTAGCGAAACGTGCTTCCTCCAGCCGAATCAACAAGTGACATAGAATCATTTCTTTTCCCTTTTCTTCGCCCACCTGTAGCCATAAAATTATTATTTGTAACTCGTTTGATGGTTTCTGTCAAAAATCGCATTCATCCCTTAGGCTTCACTTAACCAGATACCCAAGTTGATTTCAGCGCTATCTTCTAGCGAGGTCCTTATTCACGAAATGAGAAACAAAATAAAAGTATGTTTTCTCTTGTTTTCGGTATGTCCTTCAATCTATCTTCTAAATTATTCGTACTCACGAAATGAGAAAACAAGATAAAAATATATTTTCTCTTGTTTTCGGTATATCCTTCAATCTATCTACTACCTTCTTCTTCTTTGTGTTCACTTTCGATTTAATTTAAACATTTTTTTTCTTTCTTCAAATTATCAGCATTCTTACAGTGTCATATATGTGATGTGGAGGTGTTTTTGAAGGACCAGGACGTCAATTCCTTCTGTGATAAGATTGCAATGCTTATACATCGTTGGACAAAGTTTGCTCATCCTTTCGGCAAATTTCCTAAGTTCCGAAGTATTCTGAAGTTGACTGATGACTGAAACCAATGTCTGGAATATAGCACAAGCAATAAGGACATAAACATTATATACACTTTTATAGTTTCGTTAAATTTGTTGAGACAAAACAAGCTACAGTCAGGGAAACCTTAAATATAAAAGATATAAATAAAAAATAATGTTTCTGTCTTTCTGTTTTCCCGTCCCAGAAGCGAAGAAACTTCCCTATCGAAATAATTTAGCAAATATAACGAAACTAAAATGTCTGCCAATTGAGTGATATCGACTGTAGCTAAAAAATATATGAAGAGAACGATTGGCTCCTCTGACAATCGGAATATTTCAAACAATTATATCATAAGAAAGAAAAAATCAAATTCGAAAATAATTCAGGAATATAAAGCAAACACCTTTTAAGTATTCGGTAATATTAAAAATTCAAGAAAATAATCTGGTAAACTAATATTTTATTGAATTTTAGAGACATTTACCTCTAAGTATATGTCTATATTTCTGAGATAGGGTATTATGTACACTATTTATATTATTCGGACTATTGTCCTCATCTTTGTCGCCATATTTATTACAACGTTTCGGCCATTCAGTATCTGTCTGTATTTCTGAGATGAGGTATTATGTACACTATTTAAATTATTCGGACTATTGTCCTCATCTTTATTGACATATTTATTACAACGTTTCGGCCTTTCAGTATCTGTCTATAATTCTAAGATGAGGTATTATGTACACTATTTACATTATTCGGACTATTGTCCTCATCTTTGTCACCATATTTATTACAACGTTTCGGCCTTTCAGTTTCTGTCTATATTTCTGAGATGATGTATTATGTACACTATTTACATTATTCGGACTCTTGTTCTCATCTTTGTTGCCATTGTCGCCACTGTGCCATGTGTCCTCAAGAACACATGGCCCAGTGGATAAAGGTGTTAGGTAGATCTAGTGACAGGACCCAAAAAGTGTGACTTCAATATTCAAGGTAGTGGAGAACTTGGAGAGGGGAATTTGCAGGAGATAACTGACAAGTGACATACATTAAACATGGCACGTGGAACTAGAACAGTCTACCCCAGTGAGCGAAATAACTGGTTCACCACCTGAAGTAATAAATTTTAGCTCTAAATTTACTATAAGTGTCGCACTTATTTTCTGAGAATGTCATGTATGGGCGACCATATCTCTAAATTTTGGCCCATTTTTACACATACAATCAATTCAAAATTCTTTTACACGTATTTTAAATATTAAAAAAAAATTTTTCTTAACACAATATTGTCCTTAATAAATATTATTTATAAAAGCTATTAAAGCTTCTCTAATTAAATAATGTCTTAGTTATATTAACATTTACAGTTTTTGATTCACAGCAGATTTTCGGTCACATTTTAAAAAAAACATAATTTAAAATCTTCAAAGAATTCTGCTTTTAATATAATCACTAAAAATTATCACGTTGATTTTCTCAAGTTTACATAAAATTAAATTAGGGTGTGAAACAAATGAAAAAATATATTTTTACGAAGATTTTCTAATAAAAACATTAAAAAAGAACATCACATTTATTTGTGAATAAATCCTGAAAATTTCATTAAAATCCGACAATTATTTGATTTTTGCAAGAATTTCCAAATTAATGTGTCACAGCAAAAAGAAGCCAAAACATTTCCTGCGCTAAAAACTAGTACATCATATGACGCAAAAAAAAAAAAGAATTTTAATCAAATGTTTTTAATCGAATTTCTAAAAAGAAGTAAAATAATTAATTAAATTAAAAAATACTTTGAACCTTCCTCCTAAAAATAACAAAGATTTTAACGATAGAACTATGTTTTATTATACTTGGAGCAAGTTTTCATCGCGGTATGTTGAATGTTTAGCGATTTCGTGGAGGTACCTAATGCTATATATATGAATTGAAATAAAATGTGGATTAGATTTGACAGAATGACACAATAAAGAACAAATAGGAAACGTTTATAAATTTAACTTGTTCGGCTTTTTTTTAAGCTTCATCAAAACTTTTGTAAAATGTTATGTAAGATTCGCTTCCATAAATCAACTCCCAAAATATCTGATGAAGCTTAAATAAAATCTAACCATTTATATACGTTTCTTATTCCCTTACACACACACACACACACACACACACACACACACACACACACATATATATATATATATATATATATATATATATATATATATATATATATAAGGCAGGATGTGTCTGTGTGTAACGAATGCACGGCCGCAATTTTCGACGGATTTACACCAAAATTTACATGCAAGTTATCAGGAAGGCCAAGACTGACTTTGCATTTCCCAACTCCCATCGATAGTTGAAATAATCGATTTTTTCATGCTTCTACGGCAGTTTTCATGTAGTTTGCGACCATTTTCTACTGGCCAGAATGAGAGCCTATAGATGGCTGCCACGAATAGGCAGGAAGATTCTATTGCCCATCGTGAGAGCCAACAGCTGACTGACACAAATGTTAACTAGCACGCTAGCATGCAAAAAAAAATCGATAGCTGCATTAGTCACAAGTGGGAAAAATTTAAATCTGCATGGCACTTTACTCCAATTGGCTCATTCGCTTGCTTAAACTCAACGTTGATTCTGATTTCGCAGAACTGGGTTGGGTGTGAAAAAGTATTTGTTGTTAACATTTTTTTTTCATTCGGTTTTTCCAGTTACGAGTCCTTTTTTAAAGCTGAAGAAGTAAGGCATGTAGCAACATCAGAACGGCAAAGGGCACTCCTTTAAAGGCATTCAAGGCCAAAAATACTCAAATAGTCAAGTGATAGCGATTGCTGTATGAGTTGTACGATTTTTGAATCAAGCACGGGCAACGCCGGGCCATGCTGCTATATATATATATATATATATAAGGATCAAACACTAATATTCCATGGTTATAATTTATTATATTGGCATCGAAATCACGATCCAATTCATCACACCTACAAATTCAATATATATATATACTGTCGGATCTATATCCATATATTTGCTTACATATATATATATATATATATATATATATATATATATATATATATATATATAATATATCAATTATATATATAATATATATATATAGTTATATATATATATATAATATATACATATATATATTAATAATATATATATATGTATATATTATTATTATTATTATTATTATTATTATTAATTGAAATATATTGGAAACTCCTTATCTGAAACATACGCTACATTTTAATTTATTAAACAGTGTATTAAAGTGAAGAAAATTTGTCCGTCGTCAAACTTGCGCTATTCAAAAGCTATTGTTTGGATTAGCTATGCTTTACCGCTCGATCACAAAACATTACACGGTGAGCGGGTCTCTTTTTATGCTCTTTAAGAAAAGCACATTCCTTTCACAATTATTTTTCTTGAAAGCCCATAGTGAATATAGAACATCTTTCCTTAACTTAGATTTCAGGCCGATAGAGGTAATAGACACTATTTAATAAATAAAAATGGGGCATCTATTTCAAATAAGTGTTCATTCTAATATCGTTTTAATTGATAAAAAATGTCCGATTAAAAATAAATGCATTATTATTTAGTAAAACGTACATTTTTCATAACTTTTAGACCTAGAAACCTCAAGATAATGCAGAAGAGTGCTAGACTGCTATTTCGCATTATTTTTGGCAGTCGTATCAACTACCGAGAATTGAACGCGAACTTTTACAATACAAGGCAAGCATCATGTCCTTTAGCCCGCGGGCCTTGGTGACGAACATGAAAGTAAGTAACTATACAATATCGTACAGTTAATTCTATTTCCGGTGACACAGACCACAGGACAAGCCCCAAGAGCAATAACTTCCTTCACCAAGCGGCTCCATCCAGAGCTTACAACGATTCAACGCAGGCATCAGACCATTTGGCCCGCTGATCCAGTGGTATGATGCTTGCGTTGTAACGTGGTGATCCGGGTTCGATCCTTTCTCTCTCTATATCATGTTTAGTTTGCATGAATGCCCTTGGAAGGCAACGAATTCATTTAGAATAGCAGGGCAGTTGTCTTCCCACTGCAGACCTGTAAACGCGTTAACTGCGCTTACACGACTTGACAATTTCAGAATCTGAAAGGAAGGTGTTGTCCAACGTGACAATGACAAGTGAATGCAAAAATGTGTACTTCTCTCTTGGAACACATCAAAGAATTTCTGCTCTACAGGAAGACAACGGAGATCAATATATTGCAAACTGGCAGAAGATTCCAAATATGTACATTTGAATTAATCTCTTAAGCATTGATTTGCGAGTTTATATAACTTACGATGACGACATTTATGGTATTCATTGGATCGTGTCACTTTGTATATTGATCTCTGCTTCAAAACACACACACACACACACACTTACACACACATACACACACACATATATATATAATTTATTCGAAAATGATAACATAAATATGTTATAAAATCACTACAAAAATATCCATTTTGTTTCAACACCTATGGTGTCTTATCAAGTGATGGCGTTGAATGTGTTCTACAATGGATATTTTTGTAGTGATTTTATAACATATTTATGTTAT